CATGAATCAATGTCGATACCCGTCTAATCAATGCGTAGGCAGAAATTTGAGACATGCCGGTATCATACGCTCGGAGATCGCTTTGCCACAGATGCACAACATCAACTTGCTTCGATATCAGGCTGATGAGAAAATAGCGCCGAGAACCCGATTAACATTCAAATGGAGGGATTCTGTGATTCCAATACTCCCGAGAGTCATTCAACAGTTGATCAATTTTCGTTTGTGGGCTTCCTTATTATGAAATCTCATGTTTCCTGGGCAAAATGTCATTAGCTAGCCTCACAAACAACTTCATAGGCAGGTGAATCACGATAAGGGATAAATCGCCAAGTCTAAATTTTGTAAACGAGAGATAGTCTCTTGAATAAATCACGTTTGGTCCTTGTTTGTAGATACACCGACTGAGACTGCAAAGCCTCCAAGTTCAACTCATTTGATGCTCCTAGCACAATCTAGAAGACATTACCCTTAGTCTGCTGTCTGTCAATCGGCTTGTTACGCCAGACAATAACACAGATACAGATCAGAGGCAAGAAAGCGCATCCGGCAATAACCATCTCGCGCTGTACAACTCCGTAGGCGTGAACAACGGCATCTCGGATAGGAGTGCCTATTGGGTCGGCCATCTGCAGCTTCATGTCGCCGTAGAGGGCAGCGGTTTGGTTCTTGGCATCCTGGGGGAGAGCCTTGTACATCTCTCTGGGTAGATCGTTGGTCCACAGGGCACCAGAGATCCCGAAACCGATGGCCTGGCCGATGGAGCCGAACATAGAGTAGAGTGCGAGCACAACGGCAATCTCTTGGTGGGTAACCTGAGTCATGATGGCGAGAGGCCCTGTCATGGCCCAAATACCACCGCACACACCATGGAAGACCTGGCACATGACAAGGTAACCGATGTCGTTTCCAGGCTGTCGGAAGTGAATGAGAAGTGCAGTACCAAGGACACACCAGGGGATGCCGAAAACTGCAGGCCAGTAGTATCTTCCATACCAACGGAGGAAACTGTATGCCATGTTAGCAGAATGACCAGATTGGCTGACACAGTGGCGCAACTCACAGTCCGATGAAGGGCGCCAGGATGGTTGACGTCACAGAAAATGCGTTCAGAGTGTATCCAGCGGTGGCGATGCTGAGACCATGGACGACCTGGAGGTACGAGTTGTAATAAGTGTCCCAGGCAAAGATGGACATGTTGAGAAAAGCGCTTAGAAGGCAAGCACCTAGGATGGTTCGGTCCTTGAGGAACTTGAAAGGTACATAGGGCACCTTAGCGTACCACTTCTCCCAGGCAGCAAATCCAGCAAGGCAAACAACGCCGACAACAAGCATTGCGATGATATAGTCAGTCTTCCAACCGTTGGGAGCACGAGTGGCAATGTTGAGAGGGGTCAGGATAAGAGAGAAACCAGCAATGGTGAGGATCATGCCAACAATGTCAAATTCGACAAAGTAGTGCTTCGTTGAGTCCCAGAGACTGCGCTGACTCTTCTCTGGCAGGTATCCAAGTTTCTTGGCCTTGATTTCGTGATACATAAAAATGGCAGACACGGGGATAGAGAAGAAGACAAGAATGATACAAAAAGATCCGAAAGCCCAGCGATAGGTCGAGTGCTTGAAGAACAACTCCGCAATCTTAGGGCCACCGAAAGTAGAAGCAAGTCGGGGGCTCATATAAAGGCCAAACATGATCATACGGTTGCGAAGAGAAGTCATGTCTGAAAGAACGACATCGATAATGTAGCTTAGACCAACGTGGCCAACCCAGTAGAAGGTATGACCAGCAGCATAAGTCTCAACATTCTTGCAGCAGGCCTTCATAATCATCCCGATGATGATTATCAGAATCATCAGCAGGAACCCTTCGTTTCGGCCGCGGATATCGATGATCTTGGCAATAGCGAGCTTGCTGACACCCGCGATGATGGATCCGAAGACACTCGTAATGGCAAGCAGGCCGTGCTGGCTGAACGAAGAAGTGACATATGGCACCAAACTGGAGTGAACAGCCTGCAGGAGAGTGTCGACGAAGTTGACCAAGTAGAGGCTGCATTGATGTTAGCTGGTTCTCAGTGGCTCGTAAACAGGAGCATCAGAGAGCATACAAGATAAATACAGCCCACATCATACCAGGAGACCAGACTTTGGTGATGGCCTCCACACGCTTGACACCATCCTGCTTGATCTCGGAGCCATCATCGAAATCATTTTCCTTTTCCTTGTCAGGGAAATCATTGATGGCATGGTTCTCAGGCTGTATCTGCTTCTCAAAGTCGCCCTGGACTTGAGCTGGGCTGGTGGAAGCAGCCATGTTTTCTTGATGAAATCTTTGAGCTCCAGTGATACCCAGAGAGCTGGGAATAGAGTTGCAAAGAAGGTTTAAAAGTGCCACGAGTGGGTTACACTTGGCTGGGGCACTTGTATTTAAGGTAGTGGCATGAAGGAACATAAATGCAACACAGAAACGTGATTAAGGCCGCGGATTTATAGATAGCGTTGTATTCTCCAGAAACATTCGCGACATTCCGTCTCGTCTTCCTCCGTCTGTCCATCTTCTGGGTCCGTAGGGATTAGTCTTGCACCAGACCTGTCCTGCAGAGATGTCAGTGCCTTGTTCCGGAAGTCGGACTAATGCCAAGCTCTTTTACAGAGAAAAAGTTCGCAGAGAAGGGTCATGGATTCATGGTTCCTGTATTGCAGTGGATGATTCTGAGTGGAGTTTCTGCAGTAAGACGGATGAGCACCCTTGAGCCTCGGAGAGAACTCTAGTGTCAGGGAAGAATGCTTTGTTCTCATTGGGAGGAGCTTGAAGGATTTATGTTGCTAGATGATCACTTCCGTAACTGGTCTAATACCGAGCTCTGGCCGCTGCAGAGGCTCTTTGCGATTCAGGGATGCTCGCCGAAGTTGCCTTTATCTGATCATCAGATAAGCCGATAAAGGAGGATTTAGTGGAGAGGCCCATCGCCCAATCCAAGCTGGTACAAAGGATCCCAGCATAATGAGTTCATGGCCGTTGCCGTCGGGTGAACTCTCATAGTCCGGTCCTCGACAAAATTTGCTAGAATCGATATAGATCTCTCCCAAGCACGAATCAGAAACCTGATGACCCGTAATTGATCAAGTCTGTTGTTCTCGAATGTGGTTTACCTGCAAGTATGAAGGGTTTAATCCTGGTACGATCAATTCTTGACCAGTTCGCTTGGCAATTGTCGTGAGACCAGTCGAAGGAGCCTGTTAGCTATGCGTTTGGTTCCGGGCTCGAGAACGAATCCTTTGATCAAATAACGGATGAACTAGCAGAGTTTTGCGTACCCATTTGAGGCCGTGGTGGGTTTAAGTTGAGGCGCTTCAGCCCTGGCGGCTCTTTCAGCCACCAGCGACTGATTATCTAGATAAGATAAGATCCTATGAAATAAGGTTTCTCATGTTGGTTCATTGCAGTTCTTGTCGCTTGAGCAGCCCTTGTCAGTGTTTCTCGTCACAACGTGTGTTCTGCTTTACTACAGGCCGACGGATTAGTTTGTCTCTTGTATTTGTCAGAAGATCGTGATGGTGAAAGGCGAAGTCGGTTGCTGTTCAAGGAACGCCTCTTACCTCATCGCGAACTAACTTAGTAGGCAAAAGCGCGTTGTTTCCGGTGGACAGCATGAAGCCATCGCCTCAAGCCAGTGGAGAGCTAAACTGAAGATCCTGGGCAGTTCCACATCGTTTGACTGGCTTTACTCACTAGCACACGATATCTTATGCGGCCAAGAAGAATAGAACCGGAGTTTACCGATGTATTGGAGTCTTTGTACAGTGGAAAGTGGAGGATTTGATGAAGAGGGATTCCTTTCCAGTGGAGCCCCCTGGCCTTATACGACCCTCGTTCAGCCAATGCTCTTTCTTGTCTCAAGGCCTTGCCTTAAAGATCGTCCGAGCAGGCGTGGGGGGCCTTGAACATACCTAGGTAATCTTATATCCATTTTGGCAACAGCGAAATAAGTCGGATCGAGGCGACTCTTCCTCGGAGATGAATATCTTGACCGATCAGAAAGCCACCAATACTAGTTCGCAAGAGAAATATTCAGACTGATACTCGTCGTTCTGGTAGTATAATATGAAAGACTATAGTGTTCTTTCCTAAAGGCATAATTCAAGCTTTTGCAACGGAGGTTATGTCTAACTTTGAGAACAACCCTACATACGCGATGCCGGAACAAGTTACCTATATTGTCAGCTTTTACTCGTGGACTTGTCTATAACAGATTTAGGTACATAGTAGTAAGTATCTATCGTGATTTCCTTCTACCCAACAGGTCATTAGTGTTCAAGAATATAAACTGAAAGGCCTATACGTAAAGCACAAAGACTGGTATGCATAACAAACCTTCGGTTCAGTCATCGCTGCAGGTCGCTGGAGTCTCTAGGCTCTGAGACAGTATTTACATGACAAATACAGGCCCAGTAACTTTGAATCTACTGTTCGAGGAACTTTGCCAAATGGTATGAATGATAACGTGTCCACATATTTCAACAACCTTTAGGATCCTACCCTATGGGAAAAGCCTCCAGCAAAGTGGCACTCGATATCAGAAGTTTCTTTGACTGTTTTCTCTACAATATGGGCTTAAACTTTCCATAATAAATCAGCGCAACGCTTTAAATGAGCCAGAAAACATTTTGATTTTCAAAGTGGCTAATAAACATAAGCTTCAGGTACCGATAGAATCAAATGGGTACTAAAATTATTTATTCTCTTACACTTTGAGCTCATAAGTTATCTGTTGCCAGAGACTTTCACTTTAAACATATGAATATTATAGGTTACAAACCCAAAGTAAGTATCTAGACTAATGTATAATGGCCTTTACCTTTTCTCTCCGGATTCTCTCGTATATATCTATCCTTGCTTCATGAATTTCAATCAATAGCTGGCACAAAGAAACAACAATCGTTTATACCAATCAGTCAAAGATCCTTTGCTTCAACGGCTCATATACAGAACGGACGAAATGGCTCCCCCTAACCCTATATTTACTTCTACTAATGGGAAGTGTCTTGGCCCTCAGGAATTCTATGCCGGTCTCGATGGCTACGTCAACCCGGATGCCAAAGTCCTTGAAGAATATCAATCTAGCCTTCGCTACGCGAACCCACAATCCTTCTTTGATGACGCTTTCTCCAGTTATGACGATTCGTCGATTACACAGGAGGACATTTTCGGTGCAAGGATGGTCCACCGTACTAAGACGGATATCGACTCGGAAGATAGCCGCCCCAAATGTTATGTTGACGAGGACTCAAATCTCCATGACCCAGAGTCCTCGAACACGAATCCCACTCATCCTGTTGAGCTCTTTGAACCTTTCGCGCTTGTTGGCTCAACTATTAATCCTCCACTTCTCTCCTCTAATGGTTCAGCGGGCGTTGAAACCCACATGACAACTAAGAAGGTTCTACTACAAACAGAATCCACTATTGCCGACAGCAAAGCCATGCAAGATCAGATTAAAGCTGATTTCGATAAGGAGATGCTTCAAGATGCCATGGCCATTATGGAACTCCAAAATCTCATTGTCTTGAGTAAGCACGATCAAGCTTGCCTCAAGAAGGACATTTACATAATGATGGACAGATGGGCGACACAGGAATTGGCGGATACTGAATTGGCCCTAGAAGACCAGTCTACTGTTGACGGTATATACAAACTTTACCAACTTTTACTGTCTCTCATCAAAGACTACTTGGACAAGGCGACCTCTGATTTCCTCCCACGAGCATATCGAGGTCTTCCTGTGGTGGACTCGGGCTTGACTTACAACGAGCGCCAAGGGCTCGAGGGGGGGTTTGACCTGGATATTCTTGACAAACCTGGACGGAAACTTCTTTTCTGGGCTTTCCTAAGACACGAGTTAATGAGCAAGGTTCGTCTTTACGTCGCGGTTATTGATCGTAGCTATAGGCCTCCAGCCGAACTGAGTCGACGAGGAGGCCATAAGTTTCTACCTTGGGAGGACGAAGCCATCAGGTGTGTTCATACCTATATACAAACTCTATACACAGCCTTCTTTTCTGAGTGGTCTGGAGCTGAGGTGCCGGATCCACCAATCCCAGGACTTGGACCCTCCAGTAGCATAGTCTGCGAGACGACCCAATGGGTAGAAGCACTCGCAAACGATAAGTCCGTGTGCGCCACGGCCGCAGCAAAACTACCGAACTATGGTCATCAGCCAATCATGAGCCTCTTGGATGAGAGACAAAAGCAGCAAGGTCACGAAGCTTCGATTGAACCTGCATTGTCTCTTCTCAGAGATGCCAGGTTCGGTTGTGGTTATGATCGCGCCCATAAAGATACCATTTCGGGAAATTTTGACAGGAAAAAGGGGTTGGTTCCAGAATTGTGGATGGACATCGTACTTCGTCATGGCACGCCTCGCAATTATACACAAGAGAATCTTACCCTACTCCGACAGCGCGCATGGGTTTTCTTCTGGGGTCCTACAGCTCAACCCCATCGCGAGGCCTTACTCAACATATCTCAGAAATCAGGTATTGGACTATCCATTCTGAAAGGATGGGAACGTTCTTTCTTTCAAGAATGGACCACAAATGCAGATTTGGAGGAAATAGACGGAGTTCATGCATAGCCTCAATTACGATACGACAAACTCGGCTCCTTGCGACTTAGGTATACCAAGGTCCGTACTTGATGATCACGAAGGAAATATCAGAGCTAGATCAGAGAGATCTGCACTAAAAGTAGATATTGCACCGTGGTAATTCAACACTACCTTATCTTGCACATCTGAAACGTGATTCATGGAAGTCAGGTAAATGACTTATACGACTTCTTCATGGTACAGGGTAGGTGTTTGTGTCGACACATGACTCGCCAACCAAAGCTCCTGTGGGTCCCCCTTCACCGTCTCCGTACGTCATCGGTTTTAACTCGTCAGGCGCCACAACTTGAACCTGAATAGTTTCAGCCTTGCATTTGCGTCTCACACAACAACTCTCAGCATTCATCGCTGTGAGTATTAATCATCGTCCCTCGCGATGAAGAACGAATCCGATTCATGCTGGAAGGAGAGTCGGAAGGTCATCGCCCCTGACACCGGCAAGAGTCTCGAGGTTCAGCTCGTACTGTCCTTGGTGATTGGCGTTTCTGCCTTCTTGGTCTTCTGTGTATGTCTGTCCTTGGCATGGCTGCAAGATGCTTCACGGCCCCCTATCAATCTTACAACGCTATAAGGTCCAGAGCTGACCCATTAAAGATCCTACGCCCACGATGGCCCGCCCTTTACGCTGCGCGAAAACGGCGCCTCGATCACCAACTTGGTCTGCCTGCCCTTCCAAATTCCATGTTTGGCTGGATCCCGACACTTTTTAAAATCACCGAAGAACAGGTCCTGGCCTCCGCCGGGCTCGATGCTTTTGTGGTACGACACAAACCCCAAGAGGTTTATATATCATTAACGGGTCATAGTTTCTTAGCTTCTTCAAAATGGCCATCCGACTCTTTAGCATCATGGCAATCTTTGCGACGGTTATCCTGTTGCCAATCAATCGCGCGTTTTCGGACGTCAAAGACGACAAGGGCCATGATGGTGATGATACATCAGCTAATCCGGTTTCATTGTTTGGAACAGATCAACAGGTGTTCTCAAATGCCAGCTTCCTCGACATACTGAAGCACAAGGATAAAACGGACAAAAGCTTCGAGAGGTCCTGGCTTTGGGCTTATGTCGTTTTCACATACTTTTTTGTTGGCTTGACGATTTACTATCTCAACCTCGAGACATTTCGCGTCATCAAATTCCGCCAAGACTATCTTGGATCACAGTCCACCGTAACAGATAGGACGTTCCGACTTACAGGTATTCCTGAGGATCTGAGATCAGAAGACAATATCAAGGAACTTATTGAAAAATTGGGCATCGGAAAAGTTGAGAAGGTTTTGCTTTGTCGAGACTGGAAGAAGCTTGACGACCTTGTTGATTTGAGAGATGCGACTTTGCGACGCCTGGAAGCTGCATGGGCTACCTTTCTCAAGCACCAGCGCCAGAAACAAAAAAGCAATAGGCCCCAAAGGAGAGATGGTAATGGAGTGCCTCGAGGCCAAGGGGACCAAGAAGATGACGACCAAGCTGGAGAGAACGGACGCCTCTTGGACACTCAACAGGAGCCATGGGGTTCTGACGATGAGGGCCGACCCAAAGTTAACATACGCTATGGAACCCTAGGTTTGCGATCTCGCAACGTTGACGCTATTGATTACTACGAGGAACGACTTCGAAGGCTGGATGCACAAGTCACAGAGGCGCGCAAGAAGTCATACGCGCCCACAGACATGGCCATTGTTACTATGGACTCTGTGGCTTCATGCCAAATGGCTATCCAGGCCCGAATTGACCCCAGGCCAGGCCGGCTCCTGACCAAGTTGACACCAGCTCCTTCAGATCTCGTCTGGAGGAATACATACGCTCCCCGCGGTATTCGCCGTCTCAAATCTTGGGCTGTGACATTGTTCATTACGGCTCTCACACTCGCATTCATATTCCCCACCATTGGCATCTCGACACTTTTGAGCTACTGCACAATCCGCACTCACTTCCCAGCATTTGCAGAATGGCTGCGACAGCACGGCGTTATCTTCTCGTTTGTCCAAAACGGTTTGCCTGCTTTAGTTGTATCGCTTCTTAACGTTGCCGTTCCGTATCTATACGATTTCCTCTCTAACCACCAAGGAATGATTTCACAGGGTGATGTCGAACTCTCTGTCATCTCCAAGAACTACTTCTTCACCTTCTTCAACACATTCTTTGTTTTTGCGGTGTCATTGACAGGAATCAATTTCTGGAGCCGGATTCAAGAAATTGCGAAGGACACAAGCAAAATGGCGACATACATGGCCGACGACGTGGAGGCGCTATCAATTTTCTATATTTGCTTCATCTTGCTCCAGGGCATTGGCCTTATGCCCTTCCGAATTCTTGAGGCGGGAAGTGTATTCCTCCATCCGTTCCTCCGGTGGCTTTCCAAGACGCCACGCGATGCCCTTGAGCTCAAGAAACCTCCGGTTTTTCAGTACGGCTTTTTCCTGCCCACGTCTCTGCTTGTTTTCAACCTCTGTCTTATCTACAGTGTCTTGTATTGGGGATATGCTATTCTCATTGTTGGAACTGTGTACTTCTGTCTGGGCTACTTTGCTTTCAAGTACATGGTACTCTATGCAATGGATCAGCCCCAACATGCCACCGGAGGTGCGTGGAGAATAATAAGCTACCGTATCATCGTGGGGTTGCTGGTCTTGGAGATTGTCATGGCGGGCCGGATCGTTACATATCAGGCATTCATTCAGTCGGTGTGCATTCTCCCACTGCTCCCCTTTACCACCTGGTATAGCTACTATATCAAGCAGCGATTCGAGCCTCTGACCAAATACATTGCTCTTCGCGCTGTCAGGGCAGATGAGGATCCAGATGATGCCGCTGCGCTGGATGACGCGTTTGAGAACGAGGACCGCCCTCGACCCTCACAGGCCATCCTGCGTCGTGGAAGTACCCTAGACGAGTACAAAGAGAAGGGACTGCAATTCGTCAACCCCAGTCTTGTGGCCCCGTAAGTTATTATGTGCCTGATATATATGACATGAATTCTGACAGATATACAGACTTCCCCAGCCGTGGATCTACGATGAGCCACCTCCACCCATCCCCACGGACGACACGCAGTCAACAGAGGAGACTGAACGCCCTGTTCTGCAGGGTGTCGATAGCACGCTCGGTATAGGAGACGAAAACGTGTGGAGAGACAACGGAGGAAATAATGTTTAATGACGTTGATTGAAGGTGGCATGCATAATTATAGCGCTTGCTTGGGGTCTGAAGTTTGAGCAGGTACCCCAACTGTCCTTTTCTTTTATCGCAAGAATACACGTTAGCTTGTTGTCGGTCAAAGTCATGTCTAGAATATCCGAAGACACATAGAAATCATGAGACTGAAGCGCAGTTGAGTCGTGAGACTATGTTAAGCAAGAAGTATCCTGATCTGCCCCTTCCCACTTGCACTTCCAATCCCGTGATCTCGACAACGGTGCTTTCCTCGATTAACTATGACTGAGGCGGTCATTTTCTTCTCCGTCATCATCATTCGTTTGGCCAAATATCAACAAGCACGTATCACGACAACATTCGCTCATACCTACACATAAATTCTATACATGCTTTTTGAGATCTGCTCAGATCGCGGCTACCTACTTATTGATGTGCTATCGGGCGTGACCTCGCTAAGCGCATGATCTGACAAGGCATATGCGGCTGATGCACTTCGACTCCGGCGACGTTCGGTAATCTATTTGGTCCAGTCGGAAACGCCTTCAATATCCCGGTAGCAAGCCCAGAGGCTTGACTATAGGGAGCGACACAGGGGTCACGGAAATGGCCCCTCTGAGTGGAGACGTCAGAGCATACGATCAAGTCTCTCAATTCGTAAGAGCACGCGATGGCTATGACCAACAACAACAGCATTGCAGTAGAGAACAAAGCCCAGCCCAGGGGATAGCCACCAGCAACATCAGGCATCACTACAGACCTGTTCCCTTGGGCGATGGAGACCACATTTTGTACACGGATCCCAGAACCGGGACCCTTTCTTTGGGTTCTGATGCAACAGGAGGGTTCTTGGATCGCTTAATTTGCAAGGCCCAATTTCGTCCTCCAATGCATACGACGTCAACGCTGCCCGTGTTATACACAGCTGTATCTGACACAAGATTCGGGGTCTGTGTTATGGCGACATTTTCGGTTGGCAGTGGATACGACAGTCCAGGAGAGGACATCTTAACCAGACCCATCAGCCCAGATCCGTCGATAACTTCAGATGCAGACAAACAGATGATTGTTCTTTACATGATACCGCCAGATGTGCTTGCCGTCATATCTCACGGCCTATGTCGTCAGCATTGCATGAATGCCACCCAACATGATGAGAATGGCAGCTTGTTGGTTGAGATAGGCTCGCGGCCCAAAGGAAGTTGCAACGAGATCGACTCTGAGGTTGATGGTTTCGCAGGAGTGACAACATGCCCACTCGAAGTCCGAGGGCTGCCAGTTGCTATCTGCTGCAATTTGGTGGAGCTTGTCCTAGATTCGGGAGCTGATATGATTCTTTGGGCTTTCTGCGAGCAGGGGTGGGCTCGGGCGTGGGCCTTGCGTGTCGGTCATCAAGACACACCTCATCGTACAGTCGTGGAGGCCAATGGGAGTCTGAGACAGGTTGATTCTAAGGGTGACTACAACATGACAGAAGAGGAGCAGGTGGTTGCAGCGCCAGATGTTTGTTTTGAAGCTTTGACAAGTGCAGAGATTGCCCTAAAGATAGAACCTGACACGCCTGAGCAAATACCACCGACCTACGACCATGGGAGACTTACTACTAAGATTGTATTTCGGGAGTGGTAGATGAACTTTAACAAGCAGTCAAGCTCCCTCTCGAGTCCTCAATAGAGAGGAGAGGTAAGAGATTCGGCGATGTTCCGGAAAAACCAGAGATTGCATTATCAGTTGATAGCATCAATAAGTAATATGAGTCTAAGCAGAAGTTACAAGGATTATTACCGAAGAGTGAACAGGGGTTCCGTACAGCAATGACGTTGGCGTGAAGCTTGAGTTTTTAGTCTCGTTGTTTCAGCCCAGTACAAGTCTAAGTTCCGATGACGGCGATGAAGCTTAGATATCGCGGGGCCCACATCGGAAGCGACGGTTCCGATGTGGAGGCTCTTAGACGCCCGTTTTAACGGACTGAGACCGAAGGACTAAAGGAGGTTAATCATTAACCGTAACAAACCAAACTTAAAGTACAGAAATCAGATTGGAACTGAGAGACAGAACTAGAGGGAAAGAAAAAGATGCGGCTGATATTGAGGCTCACAAACAAGCAAGGATGTCAGAGGCATGTAACGTGTTCATCCCCTGATCAGAAGAAGCAAATAAAGAATCGATAATGCTACACCCCAACACCGAGGTATCCCCAACCAACCAAGCGAGTGACTCCATCAAAAACAGCTAAATTTGTGATATGCTTATCCTTGTACTGGTATGCAAACACACTCAGGTTCTCGGATGGAGCCGCACGGTTCGCAGCCGCATCCGCAAAGAGTGGGTCCTTTGACCGGGTGGCGAGGACCCACTTTGACGGCCCAGCGCCGGAATTCGGGTGCGGCGATATCAATTCATGTGGGGACAAGGTTACCTTTTCCACTGAATGAGAACTCTTTGGAGCGAGAGATGAGATGGGATGGGGAGGTATATAGAGGTGGGCATGGCCCAGTTTACAAAAGGTTTGTTTTTTACTGAACATCTTGAGACATTGGCTTGATTCTCTTCCTTTATCCATCTACTCTACTCTCCTTGATCTTATTAACCTTGTATACTGAGTATTGTGATACACTCTCAACCAACCAACCAACCAGCCAGCCAAAATGGATCAACAAAATCCAAATCGCTCTTCAACAACTCTAGAAGGCCGTGAAGACGACACCACCTTCGCACCCCTAAACACCCACCAAACAACAATGAGCCGCATCCGTCGCTCCCTCTCCCACACCCACACACACTCCCACGATGGTTCCCAGAAGGAGACCCGCGATCCAGATCTAGATATCGACCTGCCCTACCGAACCCTCAGCGCCAATGCCAACCTAGACGAATATCGCGTTGAAGTTCCAGGCGGTGCAATCCCCGGCCCTATCCAGCCTGAGGAGATCGCGAGGAAGTCGACAAACCATGAACCAGGGCAGGAGAGGCGGTATAAGCTTGTTACTTTCACTCCTGGCGACAAGGAGAATCCTAAGAACTGGAGCAAGGCTTATAAGTGGTGGTGCACTATGTGTGTGGCGCTGACGTGCTTCGTTGTTGCGTTCTGCTCTAGTGTTATCACTGCTGATATCGCGGGAGTGGTCAAGGACCTGAATGTCAGTAACGAGCTTGCTCTTGTGAGTATCAGTCTCTTCGTAGTGGGTTTTGGTGTTGGCCCTATGGTTTTTGCACCTCTTTCGGAGATTTACGGTCGACGAATCATCTAGTAAGTCATCTCGCCTGAGATATTTGGTGGACTATTACTAACGTTGTTCAGTGGCTCTACTCTTCTTGTAGCTGTCATCTTCATTATTCCTTGTGCCGTGGCAAAGAACATCGAGACTCTTCTCGTCTGCCGAGCCATCGATGGTATTGCCTTCTCAGCACCCATGACCCTTGTCGGTGGTACACTCGCCGATCTGTGGAAGAATGAAGAGCGTGGTGTTCCCATGGCTGCATTCTCTGCTGCTCCCTTCATCGGCCCTGCTAGTAAGTCATCCCTGAATACCCTCTCTTATCCAAATACTAACGAATGCATCAGTTGGTCCTCTTGTCGGTGGCTTCCTCTCTGATGCCGCTGGTTGGCGATGGCTCTACTGGATCCAGCTCATCCTCGCCTTCGTCGTCTGGGTTCTCATCACCTTCACCGTCCCAGAGACTTACGCCCCTACTCTTCTCGCCCGCCGAGCTCGTAAGCTTCGAGCTGCCACTGGTGAAACCGACCACGTTACAGAGCAGGAACTGGATCTTCGACCTCTGTCTGAGCGTCTCCGAATCTTCCTCATCCGACCTTTCCAGCTTCTCTTTGGCGAGCTCATCGTCTTCCTTATCTCCGTGTACATGAGTGTCCTGTACGGTCTTCTGTACATGTTCTTCGTTGCCTTCCCTATTATCTACCAGAAGGGCAAGGGTTACTCTGCTGGAAAGACTGGTCTCATGTTCATTCCTGTTGCTGTTGGTGTTCTTCTCTCAGCTGCTTGCTCTCCGTGGGTAAACAATCATTACATCTCGCTCGTCAAGAAGCACAATGGCCATCCTCCCGCCGAGGTTCGTCTTATTCCCATGATGGCCTCATGCTGGTTCATTCCTATTGGCCTATTCATCTTTGCCTGGACTTCATACAAGGACCTTTCTTGGGCTGGTCCTGCTATGGGTGGTTTCCCTGTCGGCTTTGGCTTCATCTTCCTTTACAACTCTGCCAACAACTACCTTGTCGACTCTTATCAGCATCAGGCTGCCTCTGCTCTCGCTGCAAAGACTTGCATCCGAAGCTTCTGGGGCGCTGCAGTTGTTCTCTTCACCGAGCAGATGTATGACCGTCTTAACGATCAATGGGCCTCAACACTCCTTGCTTTCATCAGTCTTGCTTGCTGTGCCATTCCATTCATGTTCTGGAAGTACGGCGCCAAGATCCGTGAGCGTAGCAAGTACGCTTATGGTGGCGATGACGAGACTGTCGACGATATTGAGAAGGCCAAGGGTCGTGTTGACACTCATGGCGGCGCTCAAGTCCGTGATGACTCTGAGGATGAGGATCTTCGCCGTGCTCGCAGCTATGTGAGCAACCCTTAAGCCAACTACACCCAATTGGTTTTCCAACTTGTCCTTTGGACATTTTCATATCAAAAATAGACTGGGACTTAGACTTAGACTTGGGGTGGTCCAAGGAGGTTGGACTTTAATGCCTGGACAGGACTTGTATATACGAACAATATGCGCGGAAAATTATTTAGAGTGGACTTGGATATTTAGCATAATACCCTTGAATTTAATGTCATTTTGATTAACACACTGAACCATCAGTGCCTCTATCGTGTGTCTGCAAGAAATATCCAAGTCTGATAAAGAAGCCTCTGCTGATCATGTGCAGCAGAATCATCAAAGAACCATTTCTTTTCACCACCTGAACCGAACGAAAACGACAGGAAAACGAACAAACAGACACAACGACTGAATGCTATCATCATACACAGAAACTAGGTTTTCAGGGGGGGTCGGAAGGCGTTCATGCAAGCTTATCCTTCATCGGTACTGTTCGGCGATGAAATGGGTCGCATCAGAGCTTTCATCGAGAGGGCCCACTTGGTGAAGAACATGGCAGCAGGGATCGCTCTTCATCTCCTTCTAGTTCCCGGCTCGGCCGCGATAGCATCCCACTAGAGGTGTGAACTTTTGCCCAAACAAGGATAGGAGCAAAGGGTCGTTATCTCCAGTGGATCATCGGCTCTCCCCCCCCCTAAACGCCGCGAAAACAAAGAACAGAGCAGAAAAGCAGAGAATGGGACTTCTTTAGATGGCTCGGACGGGTAGTGATTCACGGCGTCGCAACTTGAGGTCCTTGGTGAGAGAGTTCTTGCTTGTCTTGGTCTCTATCCACTCCTCGAGGTTGCTAAGGGTGCACTCGGCAATCTCGGTGAGAGCCTCCTCGGTGAAGAAGGCTTGGTGACCACAAACAACCACATTGGGGAACGTCATGAGACGCATGAGCTTATCATCTTGAATGATTGTCGACGAGTGGTCGTTGTAGAAGAGTTCCCCTTCAGCCTCGTACACGTCGAGCGCAAGGCCGCCGATATGATTTGTCTTGAGGGCATGGATGACAGATTCGGTATCGAGCAGGCCACCTCGTGAGGTATTGACCAGCATGGCACCCTCTTTCATCAGAGAAATAGTGTTGCGGTTGATGATGTGCCGGGTTTGCTCCATGAGAGGACAATGAAGACTGACAATATCGCACTGAGGGAGAAGGTCTTCGAGAGACTTGTACTCGCCATACTCCTCAAAGGCTGGCGAAGGGAAGGGATCATATGCAAGGAGTCTGCAGCCGAAACCCTTCATGATGCGTGCAGTAGCAAGACCAATTTTGCCAACACCGACAATGCCGACAGTCTTGCCATAGAGGGTCTTTCCGAGAAGGCCATCGAGAGCAAAGTTACCCTCGCGAACGCGGTTGTAAGCGCGATGGGTCTTTCGGTTGAGGGTCTGGATCAGAGCAACAGCAAACTCGGCAACAGCCTCGGGAGAATAGGAGGGGACATTGGCTACCATGATGCGGAGACGCTGGGCAGCATCGAGGTCGACATTATTGAAGCCTGCGCATCGCAGCAAAATAGCCTTTACGCCAAATTCTGACAGGGCGGAGATGACATTGTCGTTGACGACATCGTTGACGAAGACGCAAATGGCATCGGCTCCATCGACGAGGGAGACGGTGTCTTCGTTAAGAGCGAATTCGTGAAAGATGAGCTCGATGCCAGACTCTGCGTGCTTGGCGCCGAGGACTGACGACAAGTACTTTTTATCGTAGGGTTTTGTGCTGAATACGGCGAGCTTCATAGTGATAAGATAAGGATGGGCCGGATTGGAAGTTGAGGTAGAGGGGGAAGAGGGTGAAGAGATGGAGATGGAGATGTAAGTGATGAAAGACTTATAAAGGAGATTGAAGAGGAAGAAATAAATGGGCTGGCAAGTATGGATGTGTTGTGCGACTGCTCGACAGCTAAGCTCTTTCCTTGATCTAATTACGCGGGGTTTTTGAAGCTTGGAAGGTAAATATGGACGTTTCTGGGCATTCTCCACCAGAACCAGAAACGGGGAGCTTCAGCTTGAAGTACCTTATATATACACTCACTAAAATGCACCAAATACCCAGCGATTATTCCTCTATTCTCTATAATTTAGACTCAATCACCATATGAACCCACTAAGCACAGCCCCTACACGAGGATAGAAAAAAAAGGAGGTCACATCCAATAACTCTATGCAGCTTCAGCACATACATACACCGATCAACCATCTCCAATTACAGCGGTGTCGTCAGCATGTGCCTTGGAAAATCAGACCATACCAATATCCATAGCTTGGACGCCAAGCATGTGTATCCAACCAACTGTTGCAGGAAAGGAGGCAATTGTTATTATCGTTCTTATTATCTTTTGAGGCTGACAATTGAGTTGGGCTTCAACGTATGATTAAGCTTTTCACCAACACTCGTTTTCAGCTGTCATTGTTGTTGTTTCTCAAGAGACACATTCCTACGCCAACACCAACGCCGAACAAGTATAGGCGTCAAAATGAACCATCTCAATAGCTTACTCCGTCCTGCAAAATACTCCGTAAATTCTTCAGTATAATTTGTTCATATGCACCCCACGCTCGCCAAATCAGCCGAGGCTCTTCTGCCTCCAAAATGTCCCCGGAATCGTTCGGTGTCCGTGTCCCGGGGATCCGGGTCAATGACCCCCGGCCCCGAATGGATGGGACTATTTGTTGTCTGACATGCAAGGCACGCAGAGCCCCAATCATCCCTTCTTTATGGTCTGATTTCAACAATCGAAAGTTGTAATTTCTAACATCGATCTTGATAGGGTCACAAAGGCCCCTGCTGGGCTTGAAACGGACAAGGATATACGCAAGGTCAGCTTCGGTGACATATCAACGGTGACCGCTGAACGCTTGTGCACTTCGGTGAGCGTTGCAGCATCTTATTTATGGCCTCATTTGGAGGTTTCATTGATATCATGGGCAATGCGTGAGTCATCGACAAGGTATCGACTGTTGACAATTCGTGTTCAAGGCTATGGTGCATCTCAACCATGGCCTGATCTGCGTTGGCACCTAATCCTATATTTGATACCTCTATCAAGGGTCCTCATTATTGATATCCAAGTATGCCGCTTATTAAGAAGAAAGAGTTCAAGTACGATCCAGAACACAATGCCTGTTAGCCTGATTACCACTCTCCTTCAAACGACTAGTGAACTCATTTATTCTATTTATTTCTGCCCGGAAAATGCAACAATATCAGATCTCACATTGCTGTGACGCAACAATTCACAATAAATTGACACTTTTGGGCATTGTATAGTCTTGGAGGTGAGGTATCTTCGTGAATTAGTAGTTGAGTGCTACAGTCAGAATGCATCATGCAGTTACGGATGATCTGATCATATTCAGGCCAACAAGACCCAGCCGATCGGATCCTCCACGATACCCGCATGCATCTCACATTACCCGAGTAGATCACATCTAAGGTTAAATGCTATGTATGTATGTATCATGCATCTTGTCACGGCGTGTGGAGCAATCCATCAAGACATCGGCCCGGTCCGTATCCCTGTCTTGTCTGTCCGCGGAGATCTCACAGCAACCAATACCTTGCCATTGGGGAACTAAATAGCTTGGATTTCTTATTGCTTCTTGGGTCTTTTCTCTAACGCTTATAAGTGCCACTGATGGTATAATCCTTCTTCGGCCCCTTGACCGTGTACTCGATGCCCCACTCCTTCAGGTTGACGGCCTGGAAGGCAAAGTTGTACTTGACATCGTAGTAGTCGTCAATACACAAATGTCCTGCCTTGGCCTTCCATCCCTTACTCGTCGGTTCTGTGAACTCGATCTCGTGGAAAAGATAGTCTGCACGCTTTAAATCCTCTGGTTTAGCGAACCACACGCTCAGCACATCCTTGAGCTCATCATATCCCCAGACGTAACGACGTGTGGCCTTGAAGCCGAACCCTTGTTCGGTCTTGAACTCTCCCTCTTCGATATAGAGATACTCCATGCCCAGCTCATCATCGCTAGGGGAGTCCTCGCTAGGGTTGCCCGCACATCGCAACCCATCGTTCGTCTTCTCGCGGAGGAGGAACTGCGCAGTCCCACTAAAGTGTCCGCTCGGATGTGAGGGCAGTTTGCTGACAAGATCTCGCTCGAGTTTCCATGTACCGAGAAGACTTCGAAACACAGCGTGGGCCACGAATCTCGACGTCGTCAGGCCATCGGTTGCATCTTTGTGTGTCTGCTCGAGTGACTTCGTCGCAGCATCCTTTGAATCCTGGTCGTCACTAGCATTTGAATACCTCGCTGGTGTGAGCATGTCCAACGGCAGATTGTTATGCGGTAAGCTGGGAACCGGAGGCTCAAGAGGCTCGCGAATCTTCAACTCAAGTGCCTCTGCAATCTCATTCACCAGGTAAGGGTAGTCGCCCATTGGGAACTGCGATACTCGGGGATCATTTCGCAATTCGAGTGTTCGTTGAATCGAGGTGTCATCGCGAAGTTTATTCTTAAAGCTCTCAGATTCACGACCAGGGGATACATTGTCAGACCATAGCGCAGCCACAAACCGAGCCTGCATCTGCATCACACCCCAGTAAGGAGATCTATAGAATCCCACGAAGCCTAGATCCGGAACTTCGGGGTGATGAGTTCCATGGAAAGCCAGGGCGACAGGCTGATCAATGTGTTTTGGTGAGAAATGAAGTGCCTTCAAGACTTCTCCAGGAAGGTAGTTTATGCGAGGTGAAGCATCAAAACCTGTCGCAACCACCACTGCTGCAATGTCCTCAATCTTTGTGCCGTCGGACAGTGTAGCCGTAGATCCTTCGAGGCTTTCGACTTTGCCTTTCGACAAAGAAATCATTCCAGATCGAACAAAATCAGTGTACCATTCGCTAACAGCCAAATAGGGCTGCTTATCATCATTTGTGTTATCGATTTTGAGCAGTGGGGAATATTCCGATTGATCAGTGCCAAGAACGCCTTTGTAGACACTGTGAACCACCTTTGCTGTTGCTTCGGGGATGTGTCCTTGTGTGTTGGTCAGGGGTCGAGGGCGGTTGTTGAGGTTATACGAAGAAAAGTCGAGAGGGAGAAATGGCGCTGCGGCTTCTGTAGGCTTGGGGCTGGTATAAAGAGGGAACACCCATATCGGGCGTTGGATGACATGATGAATGCTGTACTTGTCGATATCGGTAATTCTCGATGGATCGGGTGAGTTGGCCTCGGAAGAAAGATGAGCGCCAATGGTTCCAGCGATCTCGACCCCAGACATCTGTCCACCAACTACGAGGATCTTCCCACCACCAGGTCTGCCTTCGCCCAGGAGGCTCTTCACATCTCTGTAATGGCTGCTGTGGACAACAGGGATAGGTGTCTGCTTCTCAAGACTCTCAGGTATAATAGGCTTCCCAAAGAAGCCAGAGGCAACAAGAAGATAGTCAAACTTCTTTGATTCAGTTCCAGCACCTGACTTGGTGCTGACAACCCACCCATTGGATGATCCCTCTGGCCGCTCTGCACTCTCAACTCGTGTACCAAGCTTGAGTTCAAAATTCTTGTTGCTCTTAAGGAACCGCTCGAGATATCTGTGAAGATACTTTCCAACCATCCACCCCTGTGGGAGTTGAGGGTCACTGTCTTCCCATGCAAGTTCACTAAACTGCATTGTATGCCTGCTCTGGTTCGCCCACATAAATGGGTGGACCTGTCTGCCATTATCCGTCTTTGACGTAGGCCACAGTCCTCCGATATCCTTCTGGGCATCGAAGATGGTAACTTTGAATTCGCCAGGGGCAGTGTTGTGTAACAGCGTTTTGGCTGCGACAAGTCCCGAAGGACCAGCGCCTATGATACTCAGCGAAGGTGTCAGAGATAATAAGGCGTGACTCACCAACAATACAAACCGTCTTGGCCATTTTTCTCACACCGGATAAGTACCTGGAGATACTCATATAAGAGCTCAATGACTCCTATACAATCCCTGTCCAAGGCTCACTTGTACGATGAGTAAGGGTTGAGCGATTTGTAGCAAGAAAGCTAGGATGAGGGGACTGATGTAGGATAAGCAAATTGAGAGAACAGCAGGTCTTCATATAAGACTCATGAATGTAATAACACCACCCCTTCACGACTGACCGTCAGCGGGCAAACACAATCTTAGGGTGATATACAGCATTCAGTGAGAAAAAGCATCCAATGGTTGAGCACACTGTAAGCGGTTTAGTCGATCAAGCTCCGCAACTCCCGAGATCTTCCAAGTCGTATGCGGCTTACCTAAGCGCTTGTGCTTGTGAAATGCATCAGATTGCGAATTCATATTTATTTGAAGAATCGACAAGGAATTATCGGATGAGAATAAAATTTGTTTTGCTTGGGCGATCTGGCTACCGATAAAACCGCAGATCTTTACATAGAGATTGCCTGTGTTGCTAAGTAGGTAGCTTAAGTTGTCTCATCTCAGAATTTGGTGTTGGTTTCTGGTGTAAGCGGCATAACAGTATATTATGTCCAACATGAGAATTAAGAATCGAGGTTTTGCGAGGTTTTTCTTTGGGTCCAATAACGAATATTTGAACTATTCGTTGAACCAACATGAGTTCATGATTTTTGTAAGACGAATAGAAAGATATTAGGTGTTTATGCTGGTTATGCAGGTCATCAACTCCAGCTAAACTCCGAGTCTAACAACCACCACTAACACTATCAACCCTGACATCACAACCCCCATCATAATCAGGAAACTTGGTGTCAGTATGATACAAAAATCACCTTGATGGCGAGGAAAATCAGTCGAATCTCGTCAATCCCAAGGTCCATAATATCAAATGCCGTTATCCTTTCAGAATTAGTAATGGTTCATTGCCCCGCTTTGTTGCGAATGTCGTCATACCTCGTAGAATTCGTCAGTTCCATCCTGTAGCTTCAAAGTAGATAAATACTCAAGCTCCAACTCTAACCAGATTATCTGACCAGTACCTAATCTTTCTTTAACCTCCAGTAACTCTCATTGACAAATTCAAACTCCCTTTGACCCCATTGACCCATCCTCACTTACCTTATACACAATGGCTTCTCATCACGTTCTCCTTCTTGGCGGCCACGGCAAAATCGCCCAGCTTCTCACTCCTCTCCTCCTCAAGCGCTCGTGGACTGTGACCAGTGTCATCCGAACTTCTGAACAGACCCCTGCCATCGAAAAACTTGGTGCCGGTCTCCCCGGTAAACTCAATGTCCTAGTACGTAGCATTGAGGACGTCACATCTCAGGATAAGGCCTTGAGTATCTTGAATGAAGTCAAGCCCGACTATATTGCTTGGAGTGCCGGTAGGTTAACATACGAGAATCACTCTTGCACCAATACTGATGAGATACAGGTGCCGGAGGTAAAGGTGGCGCAGAAAGAGTATGAACCAGCCCCATCCTCTTCAAATCAGCTCATTTACTGACCCCTCTCAGACTTTCAAGGTGGACCGAGATGCCGCCGTTCACTTCATCAATGCCGCAGCGTCTGTACCTACCATCACCAAGTTCCTTCTTATCTCATACCTAGCTTCTCGTCGATCTGGTGCTTCATGGTGGCCTGCTGGCGAATGGGATGAGTATAATGAGAAGGTCAACAACGGTGTATTGGCAAACTACTACAAGGCCAAGATCGGAGCCGATGAGGCCCTCTACAAGGTCTCCAAGAAGAGTCCTACTCTTGTTGGCATCGATCTGAGACCTGGAACTCTGACTGATGACCCAGCCACCAAAGTTGAGTTTGGCAAAACCAAGAGCATCGCTAAGAACGGTGTTAGCCGTGAGGCTGTTGCTGAGGTTGCCTCACATCTTCTCGCTGCCGATGGTGTCAAGAACGGCTGGTATGATCTCCTCGACGGTGACGAGGATATTCCAGCTGCTGTCGAAAGAGTTGTGCGAGAGAACGTGGATGCTGCTGAGGGCGAGGCCATATATGATGCTTGAAAGGGTGTCGGCATGCAGAAACATCACGGTCATATAATATTTCAAGTCATAAGGCATTCCGAATTCTTAATGATACATCGCAGCTGATGCGATCCACGCTTGTACCCCATTTTAACACCCCGGTGATCCATGCCTGCGACGGCGAATTGTAAAGACATGACAAGTTATGTAACATTTGTGCTTGCCTCAGACAAATGTGTGAAACATCACCATTTTGACTCCGTCCATATAGCTTTTCTTACATATAAAATAAATCATGTCGAAACCGGCTTCTCTGTATCCTCAACCGAGTAGGCGCGTAGTTGTCGAGTTCGCTCAAAGGTGTTTCGATAGCTGCCCTTGCTTGAACCAAGCCGGCTGTTGAGACGGACGCCATTTGCACATTCTTCGGGCCCTCCGAACCATTTGAACCTTAAAGCACGTATTTCCTCATTGAAGGTCTTCCAGCTGGTGGTGAAATAGATCACGGCGTTCCAAACGCCTTGCAAGGGAAGCACACAGCCACTGGCGACACTGAGGGGAAAGCTGATCCTGTCATGGTGCGTCAGGCTGTACAGCCGGTTGGCGGAGCTCGGAATCCAAGTGATCAACACAGCAAGACCGAAAATGAAGCTGGTGCGCAAGTATGCCATCTTGACTGGATCAAATTGTCTGAGCTTCATAGAAGCATTAGACTTGACGGCACGAAGTTTAGTCATTACTGAGAAGGGTGGCTGGCGAGAACTGTCGGATGTGCAGAGTGTCTCAAATCGTTGAGCTCTGCTAGAATTCGAAGGTTCAATATGCTCAAAAGAACTTGGTAGGGCCCAAGATTGGATGCGCGGAGGCATTGCGGCAAGAGGAGGACTTGGAAGTGTAGTCTCTTGTTGGCTTACTTGCCTCGGCTCTTCACGTGTGATCTGAACTTCTGTGACTGCAGTACCATAAAATTCCTGGCGAGGCGTGAGATTCTGAGGACAAAAGTCAGCTTCACCTGCCTCACTGGCATCGGGTGGGGAGGCTACCGCTTCTGAGGAGCCTCTGTGCTCACTACTCGAATATGGAATATGATCATTCTTCTCGATGTTGCCAATAACATCCATCACCATATGCCTGATCTGATTTCGAGTGTGGAAAACATGGTATCCAACAGCGATGTAGATCATGATGGAGAGGAATGAAAATATCCAGATTGGGATGTAGTAGGCGTAGAGGCGAACAAGACTCCAGTCAGTCCCAATCCAACACCAGAGCTACACATTGTCAGTATATGAGTGAAAGAAGAACTGCTACGAACCACTTACTGTAGCGTCTCCAAATATGAGACCTTCAGGGGAGTTGCGGATTGATATCAAAACAACTGCTGGGATAAAAGGGCCGCCGAAACAGATCAGGCAGTATAGCCAGGCATATTTGCGAAACATTCGAGGATCGGCATTGCAAAAGAACACGAGAAACACATTGATAGCCATGGCAAGTGACCACCAAGGGTCAGACTGCATGAACCTGGAGAACGAGGTTAGTGTTGAACCACAACCTGGGCCAAATATCATACCATTCGAAGATGAATGCCTGTGCCTGGCAAAGATGTGATCCCTCGCCCCTTTCGAGACCATCGTAGCCGATCATAGATGCAACACTCGCGCCGGCATTTGCGATCGAGGCAAAGATGAGAAACAAATTGGGAGTTGTTCGAAGTTTCTTGAAAAGGCCAAAGGTCAGCAGCACCAGAATGATAGCGATCATAGAACATCCTGCTCCGACTCGTTCGATAGTGATAAGAATCTCGATATGCTCAGGTGAGAAGGTCGGTCCTCGGTGATGCTCCGGATGGCCCTCCATGTTGACGTTTGGTGAGGCCAAAGCCTTGGAGTTGATGATGCGAAGAAACGAGGAGGCCAAGCGCTCGCTCCGCAAGAGAATGTGAACAAGCACAAAGGAGGAAAGAGAAGAGGGGTGGAAGGAAAATGGGAAGGAGATGATGCGAGCTCAACACGGTTGACTTACACACGGAAGGGGCGCTCGGCGACTGCGATAGAGTTGGCAGTTGCCATCAGTGGCAGGTTGAAGGTGGTGGCTTAGTTCCTTCCACATTGAATCATTTGATGAGCGAATGGGATAAGAGATGGGATAGTATTTCTCTGATAGTGAACAACTGTTAAAAAACGAAGTAAAGCCAATGCTTTCTTTCTTTTTGTTTCAATGCTATTGTTATTTGTTATGCTCAGATTAATTATGCCGCCCTTTTCATTATGTTATTTGTGTAAGCTTATATGACACTTGATCACTTAGACAAACCTTACGCATATAACCTTAATCATAGCCTTAAACAGCTCCAGATCCACTAGAGCTCGATAATAATCAGCTGTAAAGCTAAATGTTGAGATTTCTATTATTGCATGTTGCCAAGGAGACCACACCGCAGTCTCTTATTAATGGAACGTCCAGTCTGCGATAACGAGGCCTTGACTTAAACGACCACCATAAAGGCCATTGAATGAAAGTTTGACCGCAGAGCTTCTTTGGTCAAAAAGACAGACCAATACAAATCCTTGTGTATATCATTTCAACACGGCGATGGCAGATATAAAACTTCTATGAAAACAACCAACCAGATTAATAACGTAGCATCCAATTGGAGTGACCTTTTTTGGCCTTCATCACCATAATGGGACAAGCCTGCATACGTACCTCGGCTTCACAATGACTGCCACATCCTTGATTTCATTTCGATCGACCTCCATAAACCAGAGGCAAAGGCCTCGCATTTCCTCTCTTCTCATTCTCATCCCAACAATTGATTAACTAACCCTCACATGATGCAAGTTTCGAAGCTTCTAAGACCCATCTCCACTCAACTACCGAGCTTCTACATCTCCCGATCGGCCCCGCACTCCCGGGTCTTAAATCGCATCACTAGACCTCCCGTAATAAACACGACCCTCTCACACATCAACATCAAAGCCTTCTCGTCAGCCAAAATGGAGTTCCCACCCTTCCACAACTCGATCCTCTGCCCTGCACTTGACATGGTGCCAGAGAACGCACCACCTGATCTGTTCGCCACGGAATTATCCTTCTTTGCTTCCCATCCTTGGACGGCCTCTTTGATCTGCGCGCCTGATGCAATCCCTTTTCTTCCTTCATGTCGCGTTCCAAAGTCACAAGCGCATGACCAACTTTTTGGGAACACGCTCAATAATTCCCGTGGCTTAAGGCATCTTATCAGTCACTTTCGTGCGCCAAGTTTTGAGGTCGCCAAGGATCCTACACACAACATCACTGAGATCGCGGTGCTTGTATCGGTGGGCGAAGGTGTAAGCGGGTATCCCGGGATGGTTCATGGCGGAATTGTCGCGGCGTTGTTAGATGAGTCCATGGGTACCATCTTTGATTTGAACGGGACTTTGGGTAAAGAGGCTAGGGCGTTCAAGACACATAATGTGACGGGTGGTATAGATGTCAAGTATCTCAAGCCTGTGCCAACAGACAGCGTTGTCTGCATCACAGCTGTTGCAGAAGAGATTAATGGGCGAAAGACAAAGGTCAGAGGCGAAATGAAGGATGAGAAAGGCGAAGTGCTGGCGACTTGCTCAAGCCAATGGGTAGCACTGAAACCAAACTTGTGATTAATGGGGGTTGGCATACATGTATGGTGGCGAGCAGGCTCCTGGATTAGAGTAAGACTATATATTACTACGTAGAAATAAGAACAAAGGTATCAAGGAATGCAATAGGAACAAAGCAAAAGTGGTATATGAGATCCATACAGGAACCTTTCGCCAATACTGACAAGTCCATCTAATCAAGGTACCCATTGTTTCGGCCGTTAGTCATAACCCGATCATTTAGAGCTCTCTCCTCTCTCAGACTTCAACCCAGGAACAATCGACTTGACCGCATCTTTAACCTTGTGGGGGTCTTCCAAAGCTTCATAGGCGGCCTCTCGCTTACTCTTGTGTCCCTGCTGCCAAGATTCCTCTCGGTCATCCAACTCACTCTCGGCTGAGCTGATACTGCTTTGGCTTCTGTTCATGACCATGTTGATCATTCTGCCCTCGTTCTTCTTGACGTTGCGCTGGTTCTCCTTCATATCCTGCAGCTCCTGGTCCTCCCAGTGCATCGTAATTATACCCAGTCCTGGGAAGTTCCTCTCGAGAAACTCCTTCAGATAGGGCAGAGTTGATTTGTCCGGTCGGTATGTTCCGGAATCGTTGTCGATGATCAGCTGATAATATGCAGGATCATGTGGAGGATGCTCCTTTGGTGGTCCTCCAGGGATGTCTTCCTGCGGATGTGTCTTGGTATGAGGGTGTACATCATCTGAAGCAAGAGGCTTCTTAAGCCGTCGAATGAAGAATTCACCTGAGCAGGCGATATAAGTTTCAACATCCGAATGCATAGTGTGCTTGCTCAACATGTCGATACCGAATTCTTTGCCAGTCTCTGTAAATCTGAACATGCCGTCCAAGGTCAGAACATAGGTAAAGGTGCGACCTCCTTCGTCGAAGTGAACAAGCTTCAGGAATTGCTCCGAGGCCTCCGGTGAGCACGCATCAAAATCACCATATTCTGTCGATGCGTTGAAGTTATAGATACGACGATGCTGACTGTGCAGTGCTTTGTTCAGAATTGTGCCGCGCAAGCCCGCTGAAGAGTAAATCGATGCGATAATAGGTCTAAACTCGACAAAGCGATGATACAGCTTAGGAGGCACTGGCCCCTGAAGCTGCATCTCGTTTGCTTGGAAACTGGTAACATGTTAGCATAGACCATGTTAATCTTTTAGAAGAAACATACTCGTATTTTTGTGTCTTGCTCTTCTTGTTCCCGTCTTGGTCAACTTGCTGATCTTCATCCACTCGGGCATCGTCCTCGGCATTGGCGTTGACTTTGACACCGGCGATTCGACCGATCAGAGGACTGAAATGTTTGACCCATGTTGTTGGCCCAACAGTGTACATTTGCGCATAAGGCGGATCCGACGGCCCCAGAAGCTCCATGCTCAAACGCAATAGAGGTGTCATGTGAATGTTGTGGGTGACAACACTGGTAATAGCTTTGGCGAGGTATGCTCGTTTGCTCATCATGCGCTTCTTAGCCTCGTAAACGCGGCCAGGAGCGGGAATGCCTTTCCAGTCCGGGCCTATACTGGGCACTTTAACTGTGACATTGCCCAATCTATCATCATGATCGGGGAAATCTTCATCGTACATTCGGCACTTGAGAGTGAAGCCCGTTGGTGGGACGTTGGCGACAATCCATTCATCTTCCCACTCCGGCTCGGTCGTCTTCCTTATGGTTTTCGTACGGTGGGTGAGATCGGGATCCTCCTTATGCCGCTTCGGCTGGGTACCTTTTAGAGTCGCATGAAGGAAGGGATCCGAAGAGGCTGTAACAAAGTCGCCAGGAGCAAGATTCGAGGCACCGTGGAAGATGAATCGAATGGTATAGCCTTGCGGCGCATCTGGAAGAGGGGTCGGGTCGAAGCCACCGGGAGGTCCTTTTGTGATCTGATGCACACGGTCTTTGAGGCCGGTTCCAATCTTTGTAGGGCGCTTTATAGCGTGGTCATGATGATGCTCATGTCCGTTTTGTTGTGGGTTTGCACCGTTTGTCTGTTCTTGTGATACTCCATTGCCATTCCGTGTCGCAGTCTCGTCGTAGCTGTGACCGTTGGTTTGGCCATCGCCGTTGGTGCTGCTGATTGGAGCGCTCATTTTCTAACTAGACCCTTGTTTCTGCTGAAGAAGGCGAAAGAAAGATCAAGATTGCAATCTAACGAGTTTGCGCCGGATGATATACTGCTCGATACAGTAACCAAAAACTCTGCGTCACTTGAACGATAAGATGTTCTATCATCCGGGTACCCGAAGGATAGTTTTGTTATGACGATGAAGGAGGAGGGTTGAGTTCAATAACGGTTAAAAGAGGCTGGTTCGTAAGGGTCCTATCCTCGATAGATGGTGTGATAAGCGCCGTCGCAACCGTGGCTCTGGAACTGAACTAGAACTGCAACTATTACAATGGCGGCAGACGGTGGCTTATATTTGGAGCGCCATGCCAACCAGGTCATGATAATGGTTAGTAGGTAAAGGTACCTTTCTCCTAATCTCGTTACAGTGGCATGAGAACTTCACAGCCAAGGCTAGGCTTGGTCTACCCACGACAGCTGTATAACTCAACACCTCTTGGCGCCATGAAGCGTCGCAAGCTCTCATGCCAAGTCATTAAAAGTGCCATTGAATTTGCTATTTTCTGACGTCACCTCGAGTTGTGTACAGGGAAATGCATGCAGGACCTCACGGCTATAGCGGCATTTGATGTGCCAAGGGCTGGGCTGTAGCGGCTATGAGTGCCGCCCAGCGTGGAAACCCCTTGAGATTCACCCACTTGGATGGGGCTTTTGGGGAGACCCTGATCACTTTTCTCGGCGCAGCCTAGCAATTCTTTACGCGATGGCTTCGGAACGCGGCTCGCCTGTCAAACCCGATTTTTAGCTCAATCATGAGATCTGCATCGTAAATTTCGATTTTACTTGTTCATGATCGGCATTCTAGAGTTTCATATATTCTCTCCAATCATTATCTAACTACTACCACTTCTGGTAACAATCTTCACTTACACGCAAGCCGTCTGTTTGCTTCTCATCCTCAGCTTGAGTCAAGACACTGACATGTTCTACTAATAAAATTAGTTCATTGAAGGCTCAAGCTCGGATCTCGGATCCAATGTTGGCCAGGCCCTTGTTCTAGACAACAACATAGCCTCCATCTAATCATTCCACTGTCAATTCTAAGGCTGTATAAAGTCCATCTTTCAAAATCTGCCAAACCCATGTCTAATTAACCTTTATACGAACCAGTCAGCCCAATCTAACTAAGGTTGTTTAAATGTCCGAACGCGTTAGCGATAACTCAGAAACTCTTGTTTTACGAAATAGCGAATGAGAAGTCATTCCGCTGCCTGTATTGGCCTGCTCTTAAGCTTTCTGGTGCTTTATGCATGTTGTTACTGTTATTACCAATCCAAAACTGACACCTGCTAATCTTGTAGCTACGGGGCATACATATATAGGACACATATCTACGAGGAGACCAATGGATTGACCTTCTTATGATTCGGCAACTCCGTGAACGATATCACTCAATAATGATACATTCAGCCGCACATAGCTACGCTAGTTGTCTATTCAGCTACGGCACAGACCCCACGTGCCTTATATCAGCATCCAAATCAAGTCTCGGCTGTCGGTGAAGCTGGCTTGGATGGACTAAGTGGTCATCTTTCTTGCCAAAACATGCATTGGTAAGATATAACCTAACAAGGTACACTACATACTTATGTAAATCATGCCATCTGTGTCGCGGTCTGGTCCAAACGCTGGTTATTGTCAAATAGTAAGCAAGCACTTTAAACTGAAATCGGTTTTATCCTCATATCGTTTGACACAGTTTGTGGCATTCTTTGTGACATATTGTTTCTTCGTGGATGAAACGTCGAGTCGTTGCTATACACTCCTGATATTCACCACAGCAGTGACTGTCCTTAAGCAATGCATATTTCACACAAGTACAGACACAGATAGATAGAAAGCGATCCCAGCACTGATTAATAAGTGAAACATTAAAAGAGATCATAAACTGAATCAATCACCCTCCCAATCCTCCATACACAACCATTCGAGCCACACTCCCTCTTCTCAACCTCCGCATTCATAACCCTCCCCCCTTCAACCTCAAGCTTAAATCCCGCGCGCCCCTTGATATGTTTTCCATCCATTCTCCCGAAACCTGCCATAAGGAAGAACCGTGTCGCATCGGCGTTACCAGGCGCCTCAGCAGCTTTGCCGAACGACTTGAGCGCCTCGTTCGAAGGGACAAGGTAGATAACCTTGGAATTCTCCTTTGTACGACGTCCGGAGAATGACATGTCAAGACGATCTCTGAGGAACCATGGGGCAATAGTGTAGAGAAGTTCTCTGGCGCGAGACGTCTCGGGGTCGGCGGCCAATATATTCTTCATTGACTTGGAAGGGGAGTGCTTGATGGCTGGTAGAGAGTGCCGATTTCTGGCGGAGTCTTCACCGAAATAGGTGAGCAATGGATCAAGAATGTTGTCGATTTTGTAAACGACGCCGTTAGAAGCGGGAAGAATAATTGGTTTGCCTCTCCTGTCTTTCAGGAGTCTGGCTTGTGTGCCAGCACGCACTTCGGTCTTCGTCAGGCCCGGATTGGTGGTGATATCCCCCTTTGAGTCGGTATGAATTGAAAACCCTTCGATCGAGATGATGTTCTTATTGTATAGATCATGTGGAGCCAGTTTGCCTGGCAAGATATGTGTACGGAGAAGAGCGGCCAGGAGAGGATAACCAGTTGCTGTGGTCAGCTTCTCCGTGAGGCCATGGACCCTAGCAATCGCCTCGTTGGTAGGAGCGAGTATAGTAAATTCAAGACCAACGTTGTTGTCATTGAAACGCTCCTCGAATGCAGGTTCGGGAATTCCAACGCCATCTCCGGTTGACTTGAAGAGTTCATAGAATGCAGTCAAGTCCTTGTGCTGTTCCAGAACAGTGAGGACAGCATTGGTGCGATTTACTTTGGCTGATGCTCCAGCCAGGAAGACTATG